TATGTGGTGCTGAGGAATCGAACCCAGGGCCTCAGGCATGCACGGGAAGCACTATGCCACTGAGCCACTTTGCCAGCCCTGCAAGATTCTTATCTCCAATTAACCACCAAAAAACTAGAAGTGGCTCAAGTAGACTACTAGCCTTGAGCAAAAAGAACTCAAAGACAACACCCAGGTCTGAGTTCAAGTTCCAGGAGTGGCACACAAAAACAAAAGCCAGAAAATGGTGATAAAATTTAACTGTGGCTTCTCTCTAAACATCACTTCACTTATGTCACTGCAAAATCTTTACTTCTTTAACAAGCTTTCTACAGATTCAGATTGGAGAAAAGTAAAGGCGAAGCAGAAAAAAAGGCACAAAGTTATCTCCAACACAAGGGTGAAAGCCAAGGAGCCTCACCTAGGAAAGGAACTCTACCCCCAGTCTCTGCCTTTCCTTAATAGATCATGTACCTATCCACTTCTCAATTGCAAGATGTCTTCTTCAGAGTAAATTGTTTCAGCCCCCATAGGAAGTACACCTCTCAACTTCTATGTTTCCTGTTAATGTTCACCATGCTAGGAGTATGCTACTACAAAAGATACACAAGGTACAAACACCACAGGCTGTAAACAACTCTCCACTGATTCCTCACAGATCTACTGGATCTATCAATACAAAAGCAGAAGACTATATTTCATAATATAGTCTTAAGGTTTGATACATGAGATGGGAAGAGGCTTTATCTAGATTTAACCAAAAACTAACTCTAGAATTAAGAAGTCTAGTACTTAGTTTTTCTTCTTTTTTAATTAAAATTTTTTTATTATAAACAATGTAGAGGGGTTACAGTTTCATGAGTCAGGTAATGAGTACATTTCCTTTTGGACAATGTCACCCGTTCCCTCACTCTTCTATCTTCTGATTAGTCAAAGTCTTAGCCAGATCTGAAGTCAGCCCACCAGAGGCTTAATCTTCACAGTTAATGACAGGCATAGTGTCACCTAGATCTCTAAAGCAATATAACTTCTATAACTTGGAGCCTGGATATTTTAATAACAAATAATGTATGTAGTATTTTAAATAATTAGGTTTAATAATTATCTGGTTTGGTAACACTCAAAGTAATAAAGAATACTTTATTAATATCATTTGGAAAGATTTGAGACAGGACTGGCTAATATGTTTGGATAGCTTATGTATAGTTATAGACAAAACCAAATCAAATGAAGTATTATTAAACTATTTTTATGTTTGCTGCTCAAAAACATCACTACCTAATAGGTTCAATATTTTCTTAACAAAAAGAAACCAAAGACAAAAGAGTTTTAAGTAAAAAGTAAAAGCTACTCACTCACCTGTACTGCATATTTGTAAAATTGTTCTGACAGCTCTCCTAGTTCCTCCCTAGTTTTGCAGGTGTTGGGAAATTCTTCAAGCCGGTCTAACTGTTCCACTTCAGCAACAGGATAGGGCTTCTCCTTTAAGACCTGGACAATCTGGAATCGGCATAGGCCTGTAATCAGCAAAGTGTAATGGGGCTTGGGCCAGTTACTGCCCACAACTTGAACTGCCAGGGCAGCTGTCCCAATCCTGAAAAACAAGAAATGATGGAATTACACATATTTAACATAAATTCATTAAAAAGTAAAGAACATCTAAAATGTAAATGAATCTTAATTTAGCCTCTCATGTATGGTATGTTAGGCCATTACCGTCAGCATGCAATCTTACTATAAATGGTGCCTCTGTTAAAAACAGGTATAGTCAGGTGCTAGTGACTCACATCTATAAGCCTAGCTTCTCAAGAGGCTGAGCTCTGAGAATCAAAGTTTAGAGCCAATCCTGGCAGAAAAAATCTCAAGGCTCTCATTTTCATTTAACCAGTAAAAAGGTGTAACTTGAAGGCAAGGCTCAAGTGATAGAGTGGCAGCTATGAGCAAAAAAGCCAAGCCATAGTAAGAGGTCCTGAGTTCAAGACCCAGTACCAGCAAAAAAAAATAAATAAAAATTAGGTATAAATTCCCACATATGTATTATTTAAGCCCAAAACTGTATGAGTAAAATTAAGTGACAATTTTATAGCTCAATTCCAGAATATTAATACTTTCAAATAGACAAACATAAACAGCATAAACTAATCTAAGAAATGTTCCAATGCGGGGTTGGGAAGGTAGCTCAATGGTAGAGTGCTTGCCTTGCATGCATGGGGCCCTGGGTTCGATTCCTCAGCACCACATAAGCAGAAAAAGCTAGAAGTGGTGCTGTGGCTCAAGTGGTAGAGCACTAGCTTTGAGCTGAAGAGCTGAGGAACAGTGCCCAGGCCCAGAGTTCAGGCACCATGACTGGCAAAAAAAAAAAAAAAAAGAAATGTTCCAATGCCAATTTTATTACTAACATCAAATCAATTATCTTACATAATCACTCTATACAACTTCTATACATCGGCATTATTACATGCCCCTGATCCCAAATTTCTAAAGATGGGAACTAATATAAACTACACATTATCATGAATGAGTCTACACTCAAGAAGATATAAACCTACTTGTAAGATATAAAACTACTTGTAAGTGGCTATCACTTTACTAATAATTGGTGAAAAAGTTTTAAGTCTTAGCTCTTATCAGGAAATTCAACATGTAAACTTACAAGAAAGAAATACTAAAACTAAGCCAAAATTACATAAAATGAGGAGATGCTTCCAGATCCCAAACTAAAATATTTTCTCTCTGCAGACAGACAGAAGGCAATAATTTCAGAAAAGTTTAAAGTGACTAGCACTCTGGGGTAATAGTAACACTGGAATAATGCTCCTGCTCACTTCAGATGTGCTGAATTTTATAGGAGTACTATATAATCGTAGCTCATAAATGTGTTCAAATTCATGGGAGTAGTAACATATAAGGAGTAGCTCAATGAATGGGCTGAATTTCATAGGAGTACTGTAGCTAAGCCTTTTTTTTTTGGTCAGTCGTGAGGCTTGAACTCTGGGCCTGGACGCTGTCCCTCAGCTCTTCAGCTCAAGGCGAGCGCTCTACCACTTGAGCCACAGCCCCACTTCCTCATAGAAGTACTGTAGAGAAATAGCTCAGTGTATATAGGAGTAGCTCAGTAAATGGGCCAAACCTCATGAGAGTATTGTATAGGAGTAGCTCAGTGAATGTGTTAAACTTCATAGAAATACTGTACTAGAGAAGCTTGGTGGATTACAGAAAACCCAGATTCCTTCTGCATCGGTTTTACTTCCTGTGCAGTATGGGTAACCTTTGGTTTCCTTATACCATTAAGCTCATTTTGAGCTATGCCTAACCTTCCATGCCCTTACTCAGTCATATTATATATAATAGGAATAAAAATCAATTTAAACAGTAACAAGCCAAATAAGTTGGAAGATTTGAATGTGAAAAAATAATTAAATACTTTAAAACCTTAAAATGATTTTTGTTATGGCCACTTTTCTCAAGTCACTAATCTACAGGCTGTATTTTCTATTTCCTGAAAACCATCTCCATTGTTTGCAAAAGTTAGCAATATGTAAACTGATTGGAGATCAAGTTAGATTACCAATTTAGTAATCCTCAAAGACATGAATCCTTGGCTAATGAGATCTACAAAACAGAACTTGAGAAGAAACCAAAAAGAGAGACAGACAAGACACATCAGCTAAATCCAAACCTCCAGATGAGAAGCCAAATTTCTGACCTATGTGATTGATAAAAGGTAGTACTAAAAATGAATTTTCTTATAAAACTAACAAAGTATTTCTGCAAATAATGAAAGGATGATGCTGCATGCTAATGGCTCGCACCTGTAATCCTAGCTACTCTGGAGACTGAGAAATGAGGATCACAGTTCAAAGCCAGCCCAATTAACCACCAGAAAATGGGAAATGGAACTGTGGCTCAAAGTTGAGAATGCTAGCTTTGAGCAAAAGAGCTCAGGAACAGCACCCAGGCCCTGAGTTCAAGCCCCATGGCAGACCAAAAAAAGAAAAGATGATATTCCACTATGCCTCTACTAAGGTTTCTAATGAGACAAAGGTCTTAAATGTATTAATTGGTTGTTGTGATCACACATAAGGTTGGCTAAAATACAAGCTTTTCAAAGTAAAACTTGACCTGCAAAATTATAGACGGTTATAAATAGAACACCTGGAGCTAGGCACCAGTGGCTCACTCCTCAGCTCTTCAGCTCAAGGCTAGTGCTCTACCACTTGAGCCACAGCACCACTTCTGGTTTTCTGCTCGTTTATTGGAGATAAGAGTGTCAAGCCGGGCGCTGGTGGCTCACACCTTTAATCCTACCTACTCAGGAGGCTGAGATCTAAGGATCATGGTTCAAAGCCAGCCAGGATAGGAAAGTCCATGAGACTCTTATTTCCAATAAACCACTAAGAAAACCGGAAATGGCAATGTGGCTCAAGTGGTAGAGCGCTAGCCTTGAGCTGAAGAGATGAGGGACAGCATTCAGGCCCAGAGTTAAAGCCCCATGACCGACAAAAAGAAAAGAAAAGAAAAAAATAGAATACCTGGTAAAAGAACATTGAAAAAGAACCATATTTAATGTTATTTTAGACAACTTATATTGTCTATTTGGTCCAAATAAGTCAATTAATGTAATTTCCTTGTATGATACCCAAGTCTTTATACTGTTAATCATCCTTCTAAATATTCCTGTTTTCCAATTAAAACATGTACATTACTAGATATCACAAAAGCAAAACTCTGAATCTCCAATAGATTCAAATTCATATATCCATACTAATGTCTTTTGCTTTACATAGTAGCTCAGTAATAAATCTATACTCTAAGAACTCTGATATTATCACAGGTCAAAGAAATCTCAAAACTCCTAACTGATATGTACTACCTTCAGAGTTTACAATATTACAGTATTTTAATCCATACAGGGATATAGTTTGTGTAATTTGGAAATGGGTTTACTTAATAAAGGAGTTCAAAAAGTATTTGAAATCTATCAAATGTAGTGGTAGGAATATCTAAAAGCTACTACTAAAAAAAAAAAAAAGCAGCTTTCCAAGATAAGGATGGAATATAAAATTTAAACTCTGATCTATAGGACAAACATGTGATTTTGCTTTTTTTCTTTCACTTTAAAGCCTTCCATTTTTATTGGAATCCTCAACTGTCCAAGTCGTTTCTGAAATGATAGTTTAGGGTGCCCATATTAGGAAAATGTAGGGCTCCCCTTTCTCCTCAAACCTCTTGTGAGAAACTCACATTTAGAACTATTCATTTAGGGAACAATAGCACATAAATGAAGCTTCAGAATTATCTGAAGCTACAAAAAGCTTCCTAAGCATTATTTCATTATACATTTTTTGTTTCTATGAGGAAGAAAGCATTATTATACTACAAATGAATAACTGAGACTGAAATTGGACATTGTTATCCACCATTATAAGTATATTTAACAGCAACAGGGTTATTTATTCATTTTTTAATTTTTTTTTTTGTGCTGGTCCTGGGGCTCAAACTGAGGGCTTGGGCATTGTCCCTGAGCATTTTTGCTCAAGACTAGTGCTCTACCACTTGAGCCGCAGCTCCACTTCTGGCTTTTTGGCAGTTAACTGGAGATAAGTCTCAGGGACTTTTTCTGCCCTACCTGGCTCTGAAACGTGATCCTCAGATCTCAGCCTCCTGAGTAACTCGATTTATAGGTTTGAGTTATGGGTGCTCAGTTGAATTGGGTTTTATGAAGATTTTTATTATTTGCAGAACTGAGCAATATGAATTTGTATTAAAAGTATAGAAAGAAATACATATTACTGTAACTTCTAAATGCTGAGGCAGTAGAAGCACAGCTATTAACATAATGTTTACATTTTAATGACAGTGAAAAGAAGTACTTCTGCCAAAGCTCTGCAAAACTGAAAAGTTAATTTCTGAGAAAGAGACACAGAAACAGCTTCTTAGTTCTTAAACAGTTAGTGATTTTTTGAAAGAATTGGTCATCATTAGTAATAATGATTTAGAAACAAAGCAGTTTATTAGAATAGCCTGGAACTTTATAAAGCCATTTCTTAAATGTCTAATGGTAGAAGAGGACTGATTAAGACTATGGAGGTGTGAACCTACGTATAATAAGTACTTCTATTTTGTTAGATAAATGACAAGAGAAACTTATCTCTTATGGATACATAAGAAAACCAGCAAAGAATGAGAGATCAGCACAGTGATAAAAGGCATACAGCATAAGTAGTGCTTATCTAGGTTTGTCTGTCTATCCCCATCCATCTGCCCATCTATTGAAGGATGGGCTTCTCACTTGATAGGTAAATATCCTACCACTAAAGGCGTGCCCTCAACTCTTCCACTTTTTAGTTTTTCAGGTAAGGTCTTGTACTTTTATCTAGATGGCCTTGGCCAATTTCTGCCTCACTCACAGCTAGGATTTCAAAGTGATAAATTATTGCCTATTTTCATCAAGGAAACAATTGGTCATTTAGGATCCACTAAAAATGCATTTCAGTTAGGCAAAGAAATGCAAGGTATCCTGAGGTGGCATGAGAGAAAAGTTCCACAGTTTCCAAAAGGATCTTGTTAGGCAACATACCTGCACAGTAGCATGCAGAAGCAACTGTGCTGCTCAAAAGGCAAAGGCAGTGTTATAAGGAATTCATTACTGTATGGCAAGAACATGGAGGAGTAAATTCCTTCTGCTGCACCTAGAGGACATGGATAGTGTAAAGGAAATGGGAGGTGGAAGCAGAGCAGTCTACCTCTCCCACTGGGCACTTAATCATTTGCAACAGTAACTGGCAAGAAAAACTGCAAGAGGGCAGATCTGTCTGTAAAGAAACAGACTAAAGCTATAGATAGCTCAATATTTATATTTAAATCTTTTTTTTAAAGAGTACTTTGAAAGCCTTGATGTTTCAAGACTTTGGAAAATATTGCTAAGGAATATGGTACAACTTTTCTACATGTACTTTTCAAGTAGTGAACAATTTTCTGGTCATATAAGAACTAAATGGTTTACAATGCTGAAATTATATGAAGACTTTTCATAATGTTTACTAGTTAAATGATTTATCTAACATTTCTAGTAATATAAAACAAAAGTAGCATATTCAGGATCAGATAACACAATATCTGAATATTAGTGATTATGTCCAGCATGAAAATTTAGTTATTGTTATTTTGGAAACATTTACATGAAAGGGAAAAAAATCCTCTAAAACGTTGCCAGAATAGTACCAACAAATGCTCATTCAAATCTAAAATATGACTAACTCTACTTTTAGAATTCAGTGTATTGGGTAATCAATATTATTTCAGTATAAATAAAACAAAAATCTAATCATGAACTCTTTTGCCTCAGCCAAGTATTTAGGCACAGAAGGCAAAAAACTGAGCAAAATAAGGCTTAAGAAATGAGATGAGGGGTTGGGAAGGTGGCTCAGTGGTAGAGTGCTTGCTTTGCATGCATGAGGCCCTGCGTTCGATTCCTTAGCACCACATAAGCAAAAAGAAAAAAGCTGGAAGTGGCATTGTGGCTCAAGTGGTAGAGCGCTAGCCTTGAGCTGAAGAGCTGAGGGACAGTGCCCAGGCCCAGAGTTCAGGCCCCACGACCGGACCCAAAAAATAAAAAAAGAAATGAGATGAAATGTTAGAAAACCGAAGTCCAAAATAATTTGTCAAAGAGTGAAACTTGAAAAATGTCAACTTTTAGTCATTCAAAACCAAAGTAAATAAAATGGAAGAAAAAATATTTTTCATGGGCTGGGAAGGTGGTTCAGTGGTAGAGTGCTTGCCTTGCATGCCTGAGGCCCTGGGTTCAATTCCTCAGCACCACATAAGCAAAATGAAAAAAGCTAGAAGTGGCGCTGTGGCTCAAGTGGTAGAGCGCTAGCCTTGAGCTGAAGAGCTGAGGGACAGCGCCCAGGCCCAGAGTTCAGGCCCCACAACCAGACCAAAAAAAAATTTTTTTTTCATGATTGACAAAGGCAAGGATTTTACAATGTGAACTACTACTGGACTGTTATGATTTGTTTTGTTTTAAAGGGGATATCAATCTCCCTAGAGAACCTGAGGAGAAGCTACAGACTTTCCTCAACGTAATGTGCACAGTTTCAGTGGAGTAAAAACAAAGCATATTTTACCTCTTTTGAAATCCACTTAGTTAACAACTCTTCATTTGAAAATGAGGGCTAAAGGCAGAGGAATGATCTCCAGGCTGGCAAAAGATCTCAGGTGCAGATTGAAAAAAGGTGGAAGGTGAGTTTAAAGATAATACTTGTTGGTTGAGAGCATATATAGATTATAGTGTCCAATAAAAATGAAAACACTAACAAGTACAGTGGCTCATGCCTATAATCCTAGCTTCTCAGGAGGCTGAGATATGAAGGATTGTGGTTTGAAGCCAGCCTGGGCAGAAAAATCCTGAGGCTTTATCTCTAAAATATTTGGCAAAGGGCCTGGCTGGAGGCGTGGTTTAAACAATGGAGCACCAGCTGAGCAAGCCAGCCAAGCAAGCACAAGGCCCTGAGGTCAAATTCCAGTATTGCAGAAATAGTAGGCCACATATGATTTTAATAGTCACATTATAAAGTTAAAACAGGTGTTAACATTTTGTTTAATCCTAAATCTTCAAAATGTTACCTTTCCAATATCTCATATATGCAACATTTATTAATGGACAGAACACGTGTGTTTGTGTGTGTGAGAGAGAGAGACAGAGAGACAGAGAGAGAGAGAGAGAGAGAGAGAGAGAGAGAGAGAGAGGGAGAACTGAGGAGGATTGAACTCAGGGCCTGGGCACTGTCCATTAGTTTTTTCACTTAAGGCCAGCCACCTACCACTTGAACCACAGCTCCATTTCTGGCGTTTTGGTGGTTAACTGGAGATAAGAGTCTCAGGGGCTGGAATGTTCAAAAATATGATCCTCAGATTTCAGCTTCCTGAGTACCTAGGATTACAGGCATAGCCCTCAGTGCCTGGCCTAACAGAAAATTTTTCATACTAAGATTTTTGAAATCTGGTATGCATTACACTGTCACAGCATATTTGGGGTGTTGCCTGTGACTAAGCAATTTCCTGGGACATAGGCCTTTCAATGCTAAAACTCCAGCCAGGCAAACTATGACAACGACTCATCTCAATTTAGACTAGCTATATGTCAAGTGTTCTAAAGCCTCATCAACTGTACAGTCCTGGGCAGGGCAATACACACAGAGCAGCCATCTGTTAAGCAAAGTGCAAATAGTCTACACATACTTAACCTTCTAACATTCTTTAAAAAATGAATGCTGTTAGTTTCTAAATTGCAGATAAATAGTCATAGGTTTTAAGTTATATAATTGATGCAGGACAATCAAGTGGCAAACCTAGAGTTGAAGAAAAAAGTCATGAGAAAGATGGGCGATTATTGAGACGTGAGAAAAGTAGCAAAGGTGAGAGGCTAGGAAGTTCCCAGGAAAGGACACAGAGGAAAATGGGAACAGGAAATAACCTTTAAGAAGAAAAAGAAAAAAAGTCCTGGGGAGCAGAGCAAAGGTGGATGGAGTGTAGAAATAAGGCACTCAAAAGTTAACAGTGTAGTGCCGTGGGCAATGGCGCAAGAAAACGAGGAAAGCAGTGTGTCAGGTGGAGGTCGAGACAGGATAGAAGGAAAACCAGACTATGGGCAATGTAAGACTAGGGAGCATTCCCAGGGAGAATGGAGAGGCCTACAAAGTTGAGGACACGGACACCGAAGACTGCAGTAGGGGAGGTGGCCCGGAGGACATGAGGGCTCGAAACTACCACCAGTGACAGAGGACTTCCGCTAGGCCCTACTTCATGAATTATCTCACTGACGACACTGGGCAAGTACCCATCACCCCCATTTCTGAGGCTGGGGCTGAAGGGGCGGAACCAGCCTCGGCGTCGGAGGCTGGGAGAGGAGGCCCGGGGTCCCCGGGACAGGCCGGCCGGGAGAGGCCGCGGCCCACCTGTGCAGGGGCGGCAGGTCCTGCGCGTCGCTGGCCGGGTCGGGCGTGTTGGGGATGACGCCCAGGATGGTGCTCTGCAGGGACGTGCCCTTCAGCAAGCGGCCCCGCACCAGCTGCAGGTTGCGGGCCGTGTCCACGCTGGTGCGCATGGTGGAGCCCGGCAGCAGCACGCCCTCGTGGGTCAGCAGCAGCGGGAGGCGGCTGGGAATCTGAATAGGGCTCACGGACGACATGGCGACGGAAGTCGGCGCTCAGAATCGTCAGGCGGAGCGGATCAGACAGCCGCGACGGGACGAGCAGAATCCGAGCGCCGCGCGGCCGCCGCCACACCGCCCCTTTCCGCCCCCCAGTTAGGGCCCGCCCCCAGGGCCATACGCCGCCGCTTCCGGCTCCGCACTACGGCCCGCCCCTAGGTCCAAACGCCACGGCTTCCGGCTCCGCACTACGGCCCGCCCCCGGGCTCAAATGCCGCTGCTTCGCGCTGCCTCCTCTTGCGGCCGCTGGTTACCATATCTGTCTTGGTACACAGGAATCCTTCTGAGAACTTCACTGTTTAGCTCACACACAGTATTGGGAAGCATAATAATGTTTGTCAATTTTTAGCCTGGTTGGGTTTTTTTAGCTTTACAAAACGATTGCAAAACTATGGCAAAAGATTTCCATGTAAGGTCCACCCAGCCCCCCCAGTTACCACCTTACATAACCAGGGTTCAATGTCAAAACCAGGAAATTGGCTTCACTGTGATCTAATCCATAGACATTACCCAAACTTTGCTGGGTTTCTCACTGTCTTCCTTAGTAGCTTTGGTCCAGAATCCACCAGGAACCCCCTACCTTTATCATCTCTCCTAGGTCATCTCTATTACTTTAGTTTATCTTATTTTATTTTGTCTTTTTAAACCATGATACTGCTAATCACCGATATCCCACCTGTAGTCTGCTGTACTCAGGAGACTGAGATCTGAAGATTGGGGTTCCAAAGCCAGCTCAGGGAGACAAATCTGAAAGATTCTTATCTCCGGCTAACCAGCAAAAAGCCGGAACTAGAGACATGGCTCAAGTGAATGCTATCTGTGAAGGAAAAAGCCAAGTCAAAACACAAGGCCCAAAGTTTAAGCCCCTGTATAGACATTCACCCCCCTCATCCCCACCCCGATACTAAAGGGTATGGGTCAGATTATCTTGTGTAAGTTTTATCTATTGGGATTTACCTGATGTTTCTCATAATTATCTCAATGGTCTAGAAATACCAAACTGCATTATAAAAGTGTGATGTTATATGGTGTCACATGGGCCCAAATTTAACTTGCTGGTTAGGTGAACTTGTGCTTTCAAACCTGTCCATATATTTCTGTGATGAGATTGTCAGCCCACTTGGGAGAAAACCAAGAATTTACATATGAAGTATTTAATGGCTAAGGCTTTCTTGTCTTTAGTTATCAGAGGGATCTACATGAGTTTTTTTCATTTACCAATCAAATATTTATTAGGTACCTACTAGATGCTGGGCACTAATCTAGACTTAAAGACACATCAGTGATCAAGATGGACAAAGTTTCTGGATTCAAAGAGTTTCCATGCTAGAGAAGTAGACAGAAAAGAAGCCAGCAAAAATGGCAATTTAGGGGCTGGGAAGGTGGCTCAGTGGTAGAGTGCTTCCTTGCATGCATGAGACCCTGGGTTCAATTCCTCCGCACCACATAAGCAGAAAAACGTGGAGGTGGTGCTGTGGCTCAAGTGGTAGAGTGCTGGCTTTGAGCTGAAGAGTTTAGGGACAGCGCCCAGGCCCAGAGTTCAGGCCCCACGACTGACAAAAAAAAGGGGGGGCAATTTAAAAAATGGTAAAAAAAAAAAAAAGTAAATACAATGAGAAAATGTGTAGGTTGTGGTAGGGGGAGGGGACCAACATCACATAGGGAGTTTCCAGAAAGTTCGTGTTTCCAGAAAGTTCGTTTAGGAACTTTAGGAGTAGAGACCTGAAGAAGAGGATCAACCATGGACATGTTCTGCAAGGTGCTGGCAGGAGAATTCTAGGCAGAGAAAAAGCTAATGTAAAGATCATAGTGAGGAAGGGCTTCTGGGTTTCAGGAACAAATGTGAAGGTCAGAGACTAGGCTGTAAGGATTCAGCAATGGACAAATAGGATAGTTCTTGGCCTTCAGCAGCAATAGGAAGTTGCAAGAAAGGATAAATAGCACAAGAAGCCTAGGAAAAGTGAGGCTGCATCACTTCTTCAGGGCTAGTTTGCAGGATCTTCTGCCCTCAGGACCTGGGTACTTTTCCTACCCTGTGATGTAGCTCCTGATCTTAGACATAGACCATGCTGGATAAGGTAAGAAATAGTGTGCAGCTCCTCTAGAAAGCCTTAGCCTAGGGCTTCCTAGCTAAAGAAGGTCTTGTTTACAAGCAGTTTCATATACCAATGAACCACCTCTAAACCAAGTTTGTAGTCATGACCTTTGCCCCAGAGATGGAGAGAACACCAAGTTAGAAGACTGCTTCACTTTTGTTTCATTCTGAGTCATGTCCTTCCATTTACCACAGTGGTGGTCTTGCCACTGACTAGAGTAAGGACACTTCAGCTTCTTCCTGAGGAAGTTGGGAGGGCAGAGAACTTTGCAAGTGACTGCCTAAGGAAGCTGTGGAAAGAATTTTTGTGTCCAATCAGGAAATAGAGGTGTTTGTTTCTTTTGCTTTAGGTTTTTTTTTTGGGGGGGGGTTGCTTTTTGTTTTTAGAGAAGTTCTCATGCTTTTGCCCTACCCGGCTTCAGACCTCCTTCCTACTACCTCTTGAGTAGTATGCACTACCATGCTTGGTTTGGAATCTGATTCTTTGAAGAAAATAAGGCAGAATACTACTCTTGGAGATTTTTCCAGCTTGGGAGAGGCAGGAAAACTGAAGCAAGAGGAAAGCTTTTGGGAGTCTAGGTTTTCCAGACAGCTGTGATCCCTGCTGGCTCAGGAAGGCACCCAAGAGCTAGTCCTGAGACATCTGAGAGCCAGGAATAGAAGTTCTGAAATAAAAATCTTCGAGCCGGGCACTGGTGGCTCACGCCTGTAATCCTAGCTACTCAGGAGGCTGAGATCTGAGGATCGTGGTTCAAAGCCAGCCCGGGCAGGAGAAACTGTGAGACTCCTATCTCCAATAAACCACCAGAAAACCGGAAATGGCGCTGTAGCTCAAGTGGTAGAGTGCTCGCCTTGAGCTGAAGAGCTGAGGGACAGCGCCCAGACCAGAGTTCAAGCCCCACGACCGACAAAAAAAAAAAAAAATCTTCAAGATTTAGGATCAAACAGCTCTCACATCATGCAGGATTAGATTCAGTTTTTCAGATGCCACTGGAGCTTATCTTTGGATTTAGCTGGAAAAAGAAAGGGGTGAAGAAGAACATGGATTGGAGGTACCTGGGACAGTGAGAGGGTGACATTCTGAGACCCTGAGTACTGCAGTGCTGCACTGCAGTCAGGGCCAGGGTGGATTAGGCACGAAGGCTCAGAAGACTCTGGACATTAGGAACAAAAGAAGAAGCAACTGTGGTGACTGTCCATTCTACACAAGCAATAGGCAAAGCTGTCCCACATTCCTTCTCTCAGTGTTTCACACATCTTCCTCCTGTACCACTTTTTAAATTTTTCCACAGATCTAGTGGGGACCCTGACTCACCTCCCCAATATTACAGAGTTACATAGTGAGAAGTTGCAGGGACCAGGTCTATTGACTCAGACTCTGAGATTGAGGGAAAAGATTAGGCATGTAGAAAGTACTGATAACCCAGTGGAAATAACACCCTTCCTCTTTCGGTGGACCCTGGGAGGTGAAGACAATGAAGGAGATAATATCCTCTCTTTTTCTAGAAGACCCTAGAAAATAGTGGCCCTGTATAGACAATAACCCCTCCTCTTTCTAAAGATGCTGAGGAGCTGGGATGATGGCTCTGACAAAAGCAAAGGCCCTGATGACCCTGGAGTCCACCCATGCAGGGAACAGGTCCCCTTCTCTTGGGTTGAGGGGGATAGTGACCCAACCAGATGCAAGAACAGCTGAGACACCCCCAAGAGAGCTGTGAAAGAGGGATCCCACAAACGTACATTGGTTACTGATTTCTGGACCCTATTTATCCTTTTCTTATACCAAGAAATCTGTACTCTCGCTCCATCCTTCTTCCCAAGAAGCAGATGGACTGGACTTCATATGGCATATGATGGCCCTCCCAACACACCTATGGTAACTAAGAGGCTATCCATACCTTCTTTGCACCTTCCCTTCACTTTCTGCTTCCAATTCTCCTCCCTTGTGGTTCTTTATTTGGTAGAAGAGAAAAGACCCAAGATTCCTAGACAATATCAAGATATGGGTTCCTTTCTCACTTTCAGCCCCCTCAAACATTTACATAGCCTTTGCCAAACAAAGAAGCTGATTGTTGAAAGACACAGGATGGCTCTGCATGGTCCCTGCAGGAGGGAGAGTCAGGAAGGCTTGTCTTCTCTCAGCCTTTATTGCAGTGGCTGCCCGGAGTCCCCCATAGCTGTCCAGGTTCTTTGTGTCCTCTGAGTCACAAATTCCAAGTTCAAAATGGACAGGTTCAAGATGAATGTTCAAAAGGCTGGCTGGCTGGCCCTCTGCTCAGGGCTTCTTCTGCTTCTAGTCCCCCTGGAGCTCTTTCCGAACTTGCTAAGACCAAGGCAGAATCCAGCTGGGAAGAGGAGTAGCTACCTCAATGGTCTTCTGTGCTTAGGCTGGTTGAGACCTAGGGGGATGGAAAAACCAGGCTGTGTCTAAGTCTCCAAAGAAATCTTAAATTGGTGTATCTAAACTACATCATGCACAAGTGGGTCTGCAGACTTCATTCAGGTTTGCATAAGGTGACTTGGATAATTCAGCTTAAAAAAAAAAGCATTCACCTTAAAAGAATGTATTGGTTGGTTTGCATTTTAAAACATATGCTGGAGGTATATGTTATACTGGAGATATATATCTCTATCTATCTATCTATCTATCTATCTATCTATCTATCTATCTATCTATCTATCTATCTATCTGCTGGAGGCTATACTGGAGGGAGAAGCAGGATGTGTCTCAAGTCTGGCCAAGCCTAAGTGTGAGAACTTATGTGAAAAAAAACAAAACAAAACAAAAAACTAAAAGCAAAATGACTGGTGGTGGGGAGGGGACAACAAAGTGATAGAGTGTGTGCTTAGCAAGCATAAGGGCCTGAATTTAAACCCCAAAGCTATCAACACACATGCATGCACACGTGCACACGCATACACACACACGCACACTCAGGTGCAAACTCAGATTTTTGAATTCTGACAACACTGGATGGCATTGTCCCTTAGCAGGGTAGAAGCT